TTCTATTTGAACCGGTAACCAACATTCAATTTTAGCAAATCGTCAAAATAAAGCAAGGCTCATTTGTAAATTAATGATGGTTACTTACCGCTGCATGCGTAGCAGACTATCAGAGTACGGTAGATGCAAACTTTTTGATATCTAGTATTGCAATTGAAGTTGCCGGTAGCACTCAAAATTCAGTTATAGTAGTGGGAGAAGCACCGACTTACTCGTCATACTGGTTGATAACGCTCTCCCGAATCTATCCATGCAATATGCCAGACATGCTATCAGATAGTATTAAACCAGCACTGGAAGGGATCACCGGTTTGTTGATCATGCAATTACTGGGTGTCACTCAGTATCTGCACTTTACAATATAGGGAAAAAGGAAGGCTTTAAAAGTGATTGTCAGCACGTAGCAGTTAAATACCATGCATGTGTTGCTTACTTTGCAGTTTAGGAATGGCTAGAGAAACCAGGGCTATCGGAGTCAATCAAGTGGAGCTGGCAGCTGTGTGATGACACTCTGAATCCAATATTTAATGACAAAGACCCAGATCATTCTCATATCTTACACATGATTCCATGTAGATGTAAGAAAGGATGTGGTAAAAGATGCATGTCCAGAAAATCAGGACTAAACTGCACGGAAATGTGTTCCAACTGCATCGGGTTAAATTGTGCGAATGATTCCCCAATTGACGATAATGAAGATGAATAATTTGGAATGACAGAACAACCATATACACAGAATTTAACTATTTGTACAATTTCAACAGTACTCATGAAACTCAAATTCAACAAGATCGTAGTATAGCAGTAGCTGTATCTTGTTTGTATAGATTCATCAGACATCGAAGCATTGTCTTAAGATATTCATTCTACCTATAGTAAAATGGCCTATTCTCTATACTGTTTAGGTTAGTAATCTATTTTTTAGGTCAGGTTGTCCTTATATCTTAAAAATAAGGTAATAATTGGTTTCCTCCTCATCAAATTATTTGGATAAGGGGTATTACACGGATTTGTGAGCTGAATGATTAAAAAAGATGGCCACCGCCTCCTGGATTTTCGGTTCCCTAACATTTAGCTCACTTGGGACTTTTGGGGAACTTTATAGATTTTGAATCAGCTTTCTATATTTTGAATTCCATGCTGCTGCATTAGTTTTGCTAATGCTTCTCCTGGTCTATACTAGGAAAATATATTGCTGGTATTTTTACTATAAAATAGTTTATACTTTAATAGTATTTTGATCCTATTTGGGGGGTAAGCTATTTATCCATAGCTGGGATCCTAACAGTTTATTGTCATAATCAGGACGGTCGTTCTTATTACAGATTTTATGTAATGTTAATGTATTATATAATACATTAATCATCGTATGATCAATTGATACGAGAAACTATCGAATTTCATGGTGACTTGGTCGTTTAATCAATACGAAATCTATGTCGAATGTACAATTTGCTCTTAAAGAAAAAATGAAAACCAATTTTATATGCATTTATTTAATACACAGGCGACTGATAACTATTAGAAATATCAATCAGCCTTTACTAGTGAGTTCGATCCTAACTTCTTCTTTTTCTTCTTTTATGTTCCTTCCGCCTCCAGGACGTAGACCACCATGGCCCTCCAGATCTTTCTGTCCTTTGTAACAAGTTTTGTCTTTTTGTTATTTCTCTCAAACCTTGTTCTACCAACCATATGCTCAATCTCATTAAGTTTGTTACGAGCTTCTTTCCTCTGTCCCTCTTAACTTCAATCTGTCCCGTGAGTATCAGATTTTCCAAGCCCTTCTTCCTTATTAAATGTACCAGAAAGTTCTTCCTGATATTGAGTATGATTCCTTTTTGTTTCCATTTTCTCTAAAACCTCGCCATTGCTCATATGTTCCATCCATGGTATCCTCAGCATCTTTCTGTAGAACCACATTTCTGTTGCTTCAAGTCTCTTCTTCATCTTCGCTTCCATATGGAGGACAAATATTATGTAACAGTTCAGTACTCTTTTATTTATTTCTAACCAAGTTTTTCTCTCTCTTAATACTCTGCTTAAAGTTTGGAATACATTTTTGGCCAATTTGGAATGCATTTTGTGTTTTCGGATCTCAATGTCGTACTTTCCGTCCTCTCTTAGAACACTTCCTAGATTAGGACTAGGTGCTCAATTTATGAAGTCTTGTGATAGAAATGGACACGATTAATACATATCTGCGGATACAATTTAATAAACTATGTCAACTGTTATAAAACATAAAGAGGGTTCTAAGCCTTGAAATTAGTAGATTCTTTTTGAATGTATAGAGTAAGATCGATGCATTTACAGTTTAGCTAGATTTATCTGTTGATCAGTGGAGGATTGATGTGAAATATTGTTCTCAAGACTAAGTAAAAAGGGGGAGTATAAAAGAAGTTTACACAAATATACAAAGGAAATACTGGATAAAAAAACAAATGAAAGAAAATAGCGAGAGGATGATACAAAGTTCTGGAGAATATGAAATCGCTGAAAGAGAGTTAATAGTTGCTTAGCAGATTCTGGTGTCCTAGCAACGTGTAAATGTTTTTCATTGGTTAGTTCAAAGCTTACGTTGATATTTAGTCTATTTATACCACACAGATCCTTTTTTATTAAATCAACTGACCAATCTTTTAACAAATCACCTTCCAAGTATATATTTGGGAATCAAAACGTTAACATAGCAGCATATTCTTATATGAAATTCCCGAAATAGAGATTTTAAAAATGACAAAAAATTTAGATCAACGTTATCCTCTAGGAAGTTGGGTTGGATTACTGAATTTCAAAGTTACTATAAAATATAATTATAAATGATTCTAACCCTAAAATAGCAATTTTTCACATCAACATTACCAAGGAGGCTTACATTACACATTTTAAGAACTATTGCACAACATTTAAAATAACATTCCTGTCCACATGTTTGAGAGAAATACTAACTTTACAAGTATACGCCACCATGATAATAAAAAAAGGAGAACTTCAAATTCTCGAAGCGCTCTATATACGAAAAGGAAACCAACAATAAATAAAATTAATTGCGAGTATAGCAACAATGTTTTCCAATGTCTAGAAATGAATGTTTTGGGATACTCAAAATGTAAAAAATTAAAAAAAAAAATTAAAAAGTAATGCTGGTTAAGTATTTTAAAAACATTAACAATAAAAAATTTAAACTAAGTTACCTCCCTTACATATTCTTAGCTTAAATTGACTTTATTTGTGTTGGGCCTCTGTGTATGTGTGTTACTATAAATAAACTTCAGAGTTGCGTAGACGGACCCGACCGTCCATTCTTCAGAGGATATCAGCAATTAACTGCTTATTTTTTCATTTTTCATTTCTATGTACTTAACAGTGTTGCAAGTTTTTTTTTTAACGTAGTGTTTCAGTGCGTGTGTTCGTTTGTGCGCGTGCGGCCATGTTTCCGTCTGTGTGGATGTGCGTTCGCGCATGTGGGCATGTCTGCGTGAATGTGCATACTTTTAGGGCGTTGTGATTATTTGTCATTTTGGGGTTTTTTTGTTGCTTTTTTTTCTCCACTTTACAGCTTTTTTCTTTTTTTTTTCTCTTTTCTTTCAATTGTAGCTATTTGTTGCTATTTTGTTTCCAGTTTTTCTCTAGGGCTTTTAATTTGTTGGGCGTTCTAGTCTTTTTTTTGAATTAGGAAAATTGTACTTCGTTTTATATATATATATATATATATATATATATATATATATATATATATATATATATATATATATATATATATATAAAGTAAATTATTTTAAAACAATGCGCACGCTCTCGATTCTATATGTTTGCATAGCTTCTCATGTTTGTGAATACACACGTCACTAGAAATATCTAACACTTGGTCAGAACCAGGCAGTTTAATATGAAATTTTCCCAGATATTAAACCACACACACACACACACACACACACACACACACACACACACACACACACACACACACACACACACACACACACACTATTCTGGGCTGAGCATAAAAATTGTGTAGCTTATCTTTTCTTTCTGCTTTTTTATGCCGTTTCTCTAAAGAATTTACCTTTTGAATCATTGACCAGAAATTGAAAACTTGCCGGCCAGTGGCAGGAGCCGCTTTTGATTCTTGGGCGTCGCCAATTTGATTATAGCCGGCACCAACAAAATAGTGTGTCTTTCGCCGAATCTTTCTAGCACGTTCTTACAGAAATATCGATTGTATAACCAGACCCATAAACGCTTTCACAATTCTCTATTCAAGAATTGATGAAGGCTTATAATTTGTAGATCTTGTGGGGCGTTGACACATTTGACTGGCAAGATAACAGTCGCTTCTTACAATATAATTTCAGTTTTATTTACATACATGTAGTAGCTTCTATAATCATAGGGTCACAATCATAGTCATAATCGTAGGGTTACAATCATATGGTCACAATCATGGGGGCACAATCATAGCGTCACAATAGCTATAGAAGCAAAGGTTTACACGTTTGGATTATCTAGTCTATACAGTGATTTAATATCTAAGGAAACAGCATTTACATACATACAATAGCTATGGAAAAGGTATTGATGTAATTGTATTAAATATGAAATCAGCATTTACACGCATGCTATAGTAACATAACAATCTATACATGTATGCAATATCTGTGCAAAGATGATTTTCATAAATTTTACAAGTATTGTATGCTGCTATAAATAAACTCTAGCATTGATTGATTCGTTGATATCAATCCTTTGTAGGTTATTTATAGACAGAAAACATTTTTAGATTGTAAGAATTTTTTGTTTTGTTTTGGAGATAATAATAGTTGAGTCCTACTAATTAACCGCTAGCTTGCAAGAGAAAAGGCAAATTTACCTTTTGCCAGGGGTGGGGTGGGTATTTCCGTGTAAGTGAATATAACGAACTCAACGGGAATTGAAATTCGATACTTCGATTAGCAGTTCCGAGTCCTTTATCCATTGCACCATCCGCACATCCAAACTTACAGCTCTTGGTATTCCCAAGCAGTCATCCATCCAGGTACTGACCAGACTCGACGTTACTTAACTTCGGTGATCATACAGGGATCGGTGTTTTAATGCGATGTGGCCATACCACTCGGCACATTCAAACTTACAGCACCCGTTATTCCCAAGCAGCCACACATGTAGGTACTGACTAGGCTCGGTATTGCGTAACCTCGTTTTGTGGACATAGGCCTAAAATATAGCAGAAAACTTTACACACATTTAATATGCATTATACGCATTTAATAACTATTGAAGCAGTTTTACATCTTTGCAAAATCACCAGAAACACAATTTGCGTTATTATAAAATACAATATCTACAGAAATGTCCGCTATGCTCATGCTATCCATAATTGCTACGACCGCAGGAATTACATATATACAATTTCTAAAGAAAGAGACTCATAATGCAACCAATACCTATGAAAGCAGCCTTTACAGACATCTAATATACATGGAAATAGCTTTTACAAGTATGCAATATGTACGGTAGCAGCCATGACAGATATATCTATTGAAACATCACTTACACCAAATCGTATGATGATGCCAATATATATATATATATATCGATACAGCGTTTAAATACATTCTATATCCATTGATCTCCTAGGGTGTATAGGGCCACGACCATCCCACAATATGTGCCTCTGCCATAGTTTCCGTACCAAGTCGCTTTTTACGAGGTAGAGTTGCTAGCATCACGCCCAACTTGTTTTGAATTCACCGTTGTCCTTCTCCCTACTAGTTGCCAGACAAAGCTAGAGCGTACAGTCTTCCCTGATATTTAACACCTAGCTTGAAAGAGAAGAGATGGATTCATACCTTTCCAAGGTGCGAAAGCGAACGCAGTGGTCCCGACAGAAATCTGAAGTCGACACCCACATAAACCACTTTCGATGTTGATAATTGCTACTCTATACGCACATCCAAGCAGTAAAAATTATAGAAATAACTTTCGCATACATGCAATAGTAAATGAATCATACATGGAAATGACAATCATGCTGTCTCTCGATATATATGTGAAAGCAGCTATTGACACCTGTAACATAAATGGAAATAAATTTAACATGCATTCGCTATATAGCATATCTAAATAATCTTTACACCGACCATGCAGTATCGAAGAAAGAAACATTTACATACGTTCTATATCAATAGAAACAGCATTCTTGATCACGCTATATCGATGAAGAAAGCTTTATACACATTCATTATAGAATTACGCAGCCTTTAGATATATGCAATATCTTTGGAAACATAGTTTACACATATGCAATATCTAGGTAGAAAGACTTTAAATACATGCAATATTGATGAAAACAGCAATTATATGCATTCAATATCAATCGATACCGCATTTTCATACATTCTATACCTATGGGAACAATATTTACACCAATGCAATGTCTATGGAAGAAGTCTTTCCATTTATCTAATAACGGTAAAAAAAACTTGCTTTTTATATGTGCTATATCGATAGAAACAGTATTTACATCTATAGCATATTAATAGAGACCGCTCATATGTATTCAATATCTATGAAAACATAATTTACACAAATGCACTATCTCTTGAAATAGATTTAACATCCAATACACAGCTCAAGAGCCACTCAATGTAGATGATTAATGAATGGGATGTGTAATGATATCGTGTAAGAGAAGGTGGCAGAAAGTAAAGATTATGAGCATAGCGAAAATAGATAACGATTGATTCTCGATTTGAACATCCTCACAATATCTATGAAATATATATATATATATATATATATATATATATATATATATATATATATATATATATATATATATGTGTGTGTGTGTGTGTGTGTGTGTGTGTGTGTGTGTGTGTGTGTGCGTGTGTGTGTGTATTTAGGCAGCATATCTTCATTCAAACATGTTTGGTTAAATAATGTAAATATATTGTGTCTATTTTATTTTTAGCCTCTCAAATTCACGGATCAATTTCTTACTGTTCTTATAAAATTGTGTGAAAAAGACGCCGTCGTTTTGGTTATTTCTTTTATTTTCCAAAGATCTTCTTCAGGGGTCAATTAAAATAAATTAAAGACAAAAATTAATGGAATTGATCGTTGTGATTTTTTCTTTTTGTAAATACGCATGAAAATAATGTGTTAATTTCTTGTGTTTACGTTTTGGGTATAAAAATAAAATTAGCAGAATATAGACACAAATTCTAACAAGCAACCTAAATACGTATTTAACCCCTGCTTTGCCGAAAGGGCATCTGTGGCGGAACGGCTAAAACACACATGGTTAAAAGGAAATGGATTCCCAAGATAAGACCTATATACACTCCTGGTCAAATCTTATGACCAGATACAAAAGAGTTAAAAAATATATATATAAAATACAGTAACTTTAATGGAAATATATTTGCGAAACATTTACATTTAATTAGAAAAATACAGTTTATTAACAAACAAGAGAAGATTTTAAGCTTTTAATTTTAAACAAACATTAAGAAAGTATTGTTTGATTGGTCATAAAGATGAGAACACGTAAATAAAAGTAGAAAATGCAGAACAAATAAGTCACAACGACAATTTAATATTTAGTATATCCTTCATTTTTGCGAATTACTTTGAAAATTCACTTTTGCATACTTATTAATAACTTCTGCATGAGGGTGCTTCGGATAGATGCCCAGGATGTATAAATTACAGCACAAAGCGTATCCACAGTTTCAAATTGCGATCCATGTTTATAAACATCCTTTTACATCCATCCCCCAAACATTCTCGTTTGGAGTCCAGTGGATGTCTCAAAAGCTGAATGTTGTTTTCCATAAAAAAAAACCTCCTTTGATGATCGAGTGTTGTGGATTGCAATATTGGAAAATCCAGTTTTCTCAGGAGAGACGAGGGCCTGCAAGTAATTATCGATGACTTTCTTAAGATGTCGGTGTAACTAGCAGCTGTATGACGATCTTTTACCTCCTGTAAATCAAGAGTTCCATTGTACAAAAATGAACCCCGGACCATAATTGATCCACCTCCACTGTGTTGTGTTGAGAAAATTTCTTTTGGGGCATCTTTTGCATGCTAGTAACGCTGAAAATTATCTGGGCCATCAAGATTGAATTTTTTTTCGTCTGAAAACAACACATCTTCCATTTATCCACATTCCAATTTAGATAATCGGAAACATATTGTAAATGGAAGGTTTTAATGTGAGGAAGAAGGCAAGGCCTCTGCAACCATTTCACGTTCTTAAACCCTTTCTTATTTAAATGCCGTCGAATTGTTCTATTTTTATAGCTTTCATGAAATAAAACTTATTACCTATGGGATTTTAAGTGTTTCATATTCATTAGTTAATATATATATATATATATATATATATATATATATATATATATATATATATATATATATATATATATGGGATTTAAATTTGTTTTATGTAGCATATTCATTCTTGATATCTATGATTTTTGTTGCTAAGTAACATTTTCCTTTTTTACTATGCCTATATTCCGTCATCCAAATTTTAAGTAGGTTACTAGCTGTTTAACTTTGGTCCTCATGCCTTGAATATGTCCTGTGAGTGTTAAGTTCCCCCCTGACCCTCTACGTGTAGAATGCGGCATCATTGGCTTCCGTCTAGGAGAGATTAGATATCACACTTTCATTGCTTTTTGGATTGAGGCATGAAATTTTATATTTTCGCGCATGTTTTTACGTACAGTTTTTGTGTAGATGTGGGTAATTTTAATAATAATGTAAACAAACCCCTTACCCATCAGGGTTACGTAGCTGTAAGCAATGGTTTTATTTTTGCTGCACAGGACCAATGCTTGCTAAACAGAAATTACCAACCACACATGGAAAAATGCGTTAACTGAAATGCAGCTTCTGTGATAAATATGCCAATTGACCATTTTGTATCAAATTGCACAGTGTTAGCACGTACTGAATATAAATCCCGGCATGATAGAATAGGCCAATATCTGCATTGAAAAATATGCAAATTTTACGGGAACGAAACTGCAAGAAACCGATTTGAACATCACCCAGACCCTGTTACAGACCTGTAACAATTTCATGTGATTTTACAATGCGCACAGATAGAACAATCAAAACTAATCGACCATATATCTTTGTTCAAAAACCACAAAAACAGAATGTGCTTTCTTATTGACATGGTAGTCCCTGCAGATTTTAATGTATCGTTGAAGATCTTCAAAAAACTATCAAAATACAAGGATCTTGAAGTGGAAATATAAAAGATGTGGCATATGATGACATCAATAATTCCAGTTGTATTTGGAGTCCTCGGATTTATTAGAAAAGGTTCTGATAGAAATAAAAAAATTGTACACACAAGTACAGCTCACACAGTACTAAGAGTTTTCTCTATGTGCGTAATCATAGGTTTGTTTGTTTTTTTTTTTCTTTTTTTACAAAAATGAACAGTGAAAAATGTCATGAAGCCATATCTGACCTTAGTTCTCTGGTTGGGACCCGGACAGAAAACCATGAAAATAATAATAATAATAATAATAATAATAATAATAATAATAATAATAAACGAAAAAGAAAAACGCCGGCCTGGAAAGAAAAAAAAATATTAACCGAAACTATGAGGAAAATTATCACTTGTAAGTGAAGTAGACAAGGGCTCCAAAATGAAAAAAAGAAAAGGAGACAAAGGAAACGAAGCCTTGACATAAATAATAAGACTGGCATACGAAAAGCTAAAGGGAAGCTGAAACAATAAAAAAAAAGTGAAGGCACAGAGAAATCAGACGTTATGAAAAAAGAAACAGATTCTTCTGGTAAAATATGACCTTCAAAGAAGATGCCAAAAAACTATATCGAGAACTAGAAAAAATAAAATAGAGATAAATGACCCACCTAATATCCAGGAAGTCGAGGAGATCTGGTGTAAGATGTGGGAAAAATGCAAAATGCACAATGAAAGACCTACATGGATCAAGAAACAACAGAACTTGAAAGACTGTATCTTTAAAGGTAAATTAAATATGGTAGTAAAATTTGAAGATATCAATTGAGCCGAACATGACAGGTGCGTTTTGAACAATGTTAAAGAG